ACCATGGTTTGTAGGCTTGGTTTTGAACAGTGCTACGGTTGTCGCAGTGGGCGATTCACACGGATATATTATGCCGACAACCAAACACATCAGTCGTGAATAGTGGCCGTGGGTGTGCGCGTGTCCCTAGCAACAACAGTGCTTCCCGCGGTTGTCGCATTCGAGCGATTCTTACTATCCAGTAGAATCATGAACATGGTTGGATTTGTTAGTATCCGCCAGGACAAAACAACCAACATTTGTTGTTGGTTCTGTGGTAGGGCCGCCTGTTTCGTACAGCGGTGCCGTTCCTGCGGCCGCCGAGTTTGTGCGATTACGCGGTTGGTCATGTATATCGTGCAGATGATATGTGATCGGTATGTTCCGGGGCGAAACACATCAATCGTATTTTGGGCGGCCTGGTTTGGGGGGGCTTATTTCAACAGCACTACCCACATTTACCACAGAGTCGGCATTCGTGCGATGCACGCACGAAATACTTTAATACCAATTTTCCCGCTATTCGCGTGGACGAAACACATCAACTCGGTTTCGTTTTGTTCCTGTTGCTTGTTGTGGAAGGGAGCGCTTGCACACTCGCAGACGGAGGTTGAATCGAGGTCACGCTTGGGCAGGGCGGCAGGACGCGGGCGGACCGGTGCGCGGGGATGGCGACCGGCAACGCCAGGTGTTCCCTTTCAGAAGCCGTGACGGCGGGTATGTCCGCCGGGTGCCCCACGCCGCGACCACGCCGGGACCGTCTTCATGGGAGCCAGGGCTTACGCCCGCTCGGGGAGCAGCCAGGCGCCCGTGCTGTGCACGGTCTTCTCCGCGGAACGCAAACCGCTGCCCAGGGGTTCCGGTGGAATCAAAAGGATCGCTATCGAAGGGGTCGCCGAGAGCTGAGTGAGTTGAAACACACGGCCGAATGAGGGCGGCCCGACGGCATTGCAATAAGGGCTGCAGCGAGATTTAAGGCCCAAGCGAACTCAGACCTGATGGACGACCTCATCGGGTCCTCAATCGCATAGCGGGGCAGCTGGTCGATGCGGCGGCGGTGTGCAGGAAGCCATCCGTATCACCGCCGGGTGCCGATTATTCCTGCCGTCGTTACGCCGGCGTGGTCGGGGCTCTCCTCGTACATCGCAACAGGCGATCCAAGAATCGGGATGAGGTTAACGACCCATGATGGGGATACAGAGCTGATGGCGGAGCAGTTGCTCTGGCGGTGGCGTCGTTGTCATGTTGTGCAACATTGCCCGATGACGCGCCGGTAACATCGTGTCTTAATTACAGGTTGTGCAGTGCTAGTTCTGAAGTATGACCAAGCCCGCGGAGCTTCGAGGCAAATCGTTAAGAAATAGGGGTGAATCCCAGAAACTAATGCGTGCTGCACCATTTAGCTAAGGATTTGGGAATTTGCTGTATACGGCGGTTAGGGGCAACAAAAAATTGGAACGAGTATCCTAGAGGGCGGGCAGGTGAAATCAGAGGAATGTGTAGGAGCCGCCCACAGTAGAGGACTCGCGGGTGGTGTCCCGTTCGGTACGACATAGCGAGTCGGGAGGCAATCGGGGGAAAGCACGTTGTGCGGTAGGTAGGCAATAACAGGAGCTAATCCCACTGCACGAGTAGTGTCATGATGACCTCGATGTTGGCGAAGAAAATGGTAGGGTACCATTTTGGGGACTTGGTCATCTGAGACTACTGTGTGCAGTAAGTTTGGTTCCCTCCACCGCAGGAGTTCCGTCCACCGCAGGAGAGAACACCCTCAGTTTCTGTTTGGAGGGAAGAGAGAGACAGTAGTTATTGCGAGAGAGGCAGAGGCACGATAGAAAGGCCGCAGAAACGTGTCTGCGGGAGACGTGCTCTCTGCCAGTTTGGTATCTCTCTCTTCCCTCGGGCTTAAGAAACATATTAATAAATATATTCGAAAGAAAACAACAAAGGACAGGTTTGTTTAAGGCGTAGACAAAGGCGTAGACGAAACGAACCGAGGTTTATTGAAACATCTCGAACTCCCATACTGTTTATATTGGGGTACCCGGAACGTATTGCGTACTGCGGGGGCCCCTCGGTCGAGAGGAGGAGTCGCATGTGTTACCGTTCTGTTCAAGCCTTGTGTCCACAGAGTCTTAGCGTGCCAGGGAGAGAGTACCGCAGACACAACTAGCGAGGTGGTCACATAGAAGGCTTCTAGTGGTATGCCAGCCTCTGGAGCTGACAGGAAGTGGAGTCTTTTCCCACCCACCCACCCCTTTTCTTTCGAAGGTGCGGGAAAGGAGAGGACTGACTCAAGTATCTGGTAGAACTTGTAGCTGTATGTGAGGCGAACAAAATGGTAGGGTACCATTTTGGGGACTTGGTCACCTGAGACTACTGTGTGCAGTAAGTTTGGTCCCCTCTACCGCAGCAGAGAGCACCCTCAGTTGCTGTTCGGAGGGAAGAGAGAAAAAGTGTTTATTGGGAGAGAGGCAGAGGCACGATAGAAAGGCCGTGAAAACGCGTCTGCGGGAAACGAGCTCTCTGCCTGTTTCTTTGACAACGGTGTTGTGATTGCCTCTGCATTATCTCGCATGCGACGTGGGTATTATGTTCACTGTTCCTCGATGCTGCCTTGGACCATCTCTTGTCCGCAGAAACGTCGCCGAGCTCCGGGCATGACACTAAACGTGGCGTCCACAACGAGCGGGCGCTATTCAGTCCTCTTCCTCGATGAAAGTGACAAATCTCAGTCGATGTACGTCTACCTTCTCCAACATCAACGAGGGACATGAGTGCACGGCACCAAAAAAAGTGGAGGGACACGTGTTCAAGATATATCTGCAACGTATATCGGGCTTTCGTCTCGGAAGAAAATCGAAAGCAGCCGTGGAGGCGGGAATGATTGGTGTGTACACTTTGAACGGCGCCCTTTGCTTCAATATTTGAGGGTCTGATGTTCGGATGTTTCAGTACATTTGGAATTCCGCGGGCTCGGGATGAGAAGGAAGGACAGAGATCTCGACGATAGTAGACAAGATGTAGCATAGGAAGCAGAGCGTCAGAGGGAGTACGGCCAACTCAAGATGGTCACAACATGACAGACATTTGGGTGGGCGTTTACATGGCAGAGAAGGGGGGCAGAGGGTGTAGAAATGCCGGAGGTATGGCCGCGATCGACTAAGGTGTGTTTCCCATTCGCCGCTCTCTATCTTGAGTATTCATGTCGGTCAGGGTGTCAACTAGACTAGAGACCGCCGGCAGGGCTATCTCGGAAATTGGTTGTATCTGGCTCCGCTTTGTCAGAAGTGTAACAAGGGGTGTGTACCAATATTGGAGTTGTCTCTGCAGGTTCCTTTCATCCGTACGGGTGTAGGTTGACGTTGGAAGGGTGGTAGTGTTGAGTAGACGCGCAGGTGGAACTGACGGCAAGGAAGATCCCCTGGCTATCCCAGCTCGTGCTGCTACTTTTGGTGCAGGTTGTCGATAGGACATCGCTCACAGTATTCTTGTCCATACATTGTATACATTCGGAAATCATGCGTCATAAGCGAGAGTAGCGGACAAGCGGGAAAAATGACCCGCCGCATCTTCAAGAAGCTTTTTTTGCTCCTTTGCCCGTGTCGCAACTTTGGTGTAGCGGTACTTCCTCGCCACCCACTCAACCAACAGCGATGAGAAAGGTATGCGTCATGAGCTGTGCATATGGTTCGTCTTGTGTGATGGCTAATACAGACCAGGAGGCGGTAGGGCGCTCAGAAGTTGGGTTCGCAAAGTTGACAGTACACGAAAAATGACCCAGCGCTGCTCGTCCAGGCTCTCTCAGCTTGTTTGCCAATTTATTTGCCGCACACAATCGGGTCGTCCACTTGGTCCAGCCGAATGAAAAAACAACGGCTACCGCCGGTGCTACCGACCCTGTACCAGCCATATGGCACACCTCGTGTGACCACCGTTAGGGTTTGCGGGGATCAACCGTGGAGAGATTCAAGTTTGTAGGTAGGAGTCATGCGGTTGTGGCCAAAAAAAGATCACAGAAAAAGACAGCCCGGACTTACCCAAAACTGCCCCAGAAAAAGACAGGATGGGCTGTCCAAAACGGGTTGTCTTTTTTTGTTGGCCTTTTTTCCCTGAAAAAAGACGCCGTAAGAAGGCGTTCTGTGGCCAGTTGTCTTTTTTTGAGAAGGAAAAAAGAAAAAGACAGCTCCAAAAAAGAACCGTAAGAAATGGCCTAAGCGTCAATTTTGAAAAGAAACTGCGGTTTTTCAACCCTGGAGTGGCGGAGTGAGTGCCGGTGGCGCGTAGATACGCCCGCCTGACCTGAGACCAAACGAGTACTACGAACAAAGGATATGCGTTCTCAGATGATGGCGCGGGCGCACAAAACGTGACCGTGGCACGTAGACTTTTAGTCCCCATCCAAAATCCCGGTCCCGAACAAGCCACACTCTCGCTCTCAGTACGAGCTCTCACATAGAATGTATAATCTACAGCAGTGTTGTCGCGTGCTACGTCTGGTACCGTAGGAGGTGTCCCTGTCCCAGTGGCGAGTGCGTTAGCCTCCATCCGAGCAGCAAAATTTCTGTATGTAGGGGCTCAGTAAATGGCTCGAGACCGCCCCTGTTCCTTTTTCCTCCGGACACACAATACACCAGATCTGACTAATTGACTCAATTCGGCAAGCTGCCCACACACGTACGCCACATTGCCTTGGTCGACACTGTGCCCAGCCCCCAACTAGCCCCCCATTCTCCCAGCCATGCACACAATGAGGCACCTCGTGCTGCCATACTTGTAGGATTTGCCTCCTAAATACGAGGACCGGCCTTGGAGGGGGCCCTACGAACGAAACCGGGGTAGTATCAACACCCGAGGTTCTCTAGCAGTGAGCCGCACATACCAGACATCCAAACACACCCAACCAACATCAGGAACCGAAACGAATACTGTAGTTGACATGACACAAGGTACCACACTCCCTTTCGACCCATTTTCGAAACCCGAATGCTCAACGACGAAGAGGATGCAAAAAAAATATCCGATGGGTGCATAACTTATCCGATACGTAGTCGGAAACCTCTCGACGAGACCGGCTTCCACGCCGCCTGTTGTTGGCGCTGTCAATTCTGTGGAGGACATCTGGCTATGAACATCGGTTCACAGGGCGTGCGACGAAACACCAGTTTCACGGACGAATGGTTGGGACCTAAATCAGGCCTACGGAGGGGGGACCACTCGTCCCGCCTCATCGCGGTAGACGTACCGGCCCTCGTCCACCGCTATGCTCGGCCCGGTGACCCCCTTGTTCTGCTTGGTCAGGGGGAAGTGCACCTCCGTCCCGACGCCGAGGAAAGCCACCCACCAGCTGAACGTGCTGTGGGCCATGACCAGCCGGGGGGCTCGAGACAGGAAGCAGAACGCGTGGAACTGGTCTTCCACCATTTCCTGCACGTCGCGTCGTTCGTGTTGTCGTTAGTTCGGCCGTTCGCCGCCGAGCGGCAAAGATTGCGGCAATCGTGAAGCGGCGGGAAGATTATTCAAGCTGCCTTTTTAATCAAGATGGCAGTTGAAGGGGTTGACAGGCTTGTACAGGCTTGTCAAGAGAGCGTTTTCGACGGCAAGTATACTAGTTTAGTGTGGGACTTCGGCCTTGACACATCTGCCAACGGCCTAAATCCCTGACAACTACCAAATTTATAAGCCTTTGTTGTCGCTGCGTATATAAACGGGGACCGGCAGTTTATGGGCGGGCGGGTCGGTTGCTTCGAGCCCCGTCGGCCCCCGGGCTTTCCGCCGCACACGTCAGGCTGGGAATCCAAGGGGCACGCTGAACAGGTAACCCTAAGACAAAAAATCTGGCTACATTAATCCTTTCGCGTCAAGCTCAATGCATCACACACCGTAATATTAACCTTTCTCTGGCCGCTCTTGCCATGTTTTGCACGCATGCCGACATATTTCGAACAACGCCACAATGACCCAGCCGCGAAACGGCCGCGTTTCCTAAAAAATCGAACAAAAATAACTAAAACTCACAGCTCTTTTCACGTTGGGGTGGTCCTGTTGCAGACGCTTGAACAGAGGCTCCTCGTCGTTGAACTCTCCCACCACCCACACTGTTTCGGGCGGGCCGGCCGCAGACTCTGCGGCATCCCGCAGCACCGCCTCGTAGAACTCGTAGTCCAAGTCCTTCAACAAACGGGGCCCGGGAAAACAGAAATGACGTTGTTAGAGGGGGGAGGAGGGGCGTGCGGCCAGAACGTGGAACCCCAAAATACCATTCGCACCGTCCGAGGGACCAACCGGCAACTGCATGCCATTGCGTGGCCAACATGCCGCCCCTTGCCACGCACACGCCTCCTCTGCCAAAAAAGGCCGGTTGTCACGGATCACGATGTGGGGCGTCTCAGGAACGGAACGACCGGAGGAAAGGAAAATGGCGGAATTGCACTACTTGCTCCAAGCAATTATTCGGTTCGAGGATTGGCCGGGTATCATGTGTAGTAAGGGGGTACGGGTATAGGGGGGGTTACGGTTGTTCGTAGGAACGCCTACGCTAGAAAATAATTTTCCGAGGAAATAGAACAGGGGTGTGTGTGCGCAGACCCTATCCCTACCCCTAACCCAAACCCAATTTCCCCCATTGCATGATTTATCCAACGTGTTTACTTAAGCGAAAACCCCGTGAAGGCTGCTTTCTTAAAAAAGAGACTAAGCACTACAACGTGAACCAACGGAGGAAAAGAGGGCGCGCACAATACATACGAAAACGTTATGGATGCCTGCGTTTAGGTGCTCAAAAGAATTCTCGGCTCGAGAAACCCCCGGGTGCAATAGGGGAGGGGTTTGAACGGGGAGGATTCAGTCCAATGAGAGAACACAGTGCAATGACCCCATCGACGCAACGGTCCACGTCCGACCAGAAAAGCAACAAGAGAACACGGATCATCTATAAGACAGGCCAGTAGCGCTGCTTGCCTTGAAGATGAGCTTTTCGTACTGCTCAGCGGTTAGCTCCGCCCTGTAGTTGCGGTGGTGGATCACGAGGTCGCCAGGGCCGGGAGCGGTCGGGCCGCAGCACGATGGGTCCAGCGCCATTATCTGGCCGAGCCAGGGGAATTAATGCCCGAAGGGGCACAAGAAGCCCAACAACAGAAAGGAGAGTATGGGTTGTGAGGGTAGTCTAGCCCTGCTGCATCTCACCGCACAACCGTTGTCTTGGTGCTCGTGCTACTGGTGCACGTGCTTCGAGCGACGTTATGGCTGCAACTGATGGGTGTTCCGCCTGATAGCCCACCCTTTGTCCGCCAGCTGGCTACGACATACAGGGAACGCTCCTTCCAAACACCACACTACCACCGGGGGGAGGTCGGAACCACAAAACCAACCGCCGTGTTTTTTCTCAGTGCAGGTGACATGCCAGGCGAGAACGCCTCCCCGCCCCAGGAGGCCTCATCCAACACTAACCTACACGAAATGATCTCGGTTCGGAGACACAACGCAACAGAAACAATAAAACCAGCAGGCGCTGCTTGCCGACCCTGCGGAACCGCTCCTTCTCCGACCAAAACATGCCGTAGTTCTGGAACCATCGCAAAAAGAACAAAAATAGCCCGCGCTGACCTTGCGGAGCGGTTCCTTCTCCGGCCTAAGCATTCTGGAACCGCCCCCCTCCCCCCCAAACAAATACACCGCTGACCTTGCGGAGCCGGTCCTTCTCCGACTTAAACATGCTGTAGTCCTGGAACCACCCTTCCATCTCGATGGACCTGGGCGTGGGGTCCCCCAGCTCCTGGCGGACCCCGCGAAACTTGACCGTCTCCAACCCGACCATCTCCGGGGCTCGACGGCGCAGGTCCCACCGGCCGCACCCCGGGGAAGCACGCCATCCCCTCCGGCCTCGTGAGGAGGCCGAACTTCTTGCGGTTATACGGCGCCGGTTGGATCGACAGGGCGAAGCCCAGGCGGTCCGCGAGCGCCCGGGCGGCGGCGTACTCGAAGAGGTTGTTGCCCAGTCGGCCCATGAAGTTGAGCCGCACGATACCCGGGCCCCTGGTGGCGGCGGTGGTGGCATCATCGTCATTAGTCGCCGGCCGCTCCGCTCCCGCCGCCGCCGCCGCCGCCGCCGGTATGTCCTGGCCCGGTGGTCGGTGCTCGGAACCGGGCACCGTGTCGAGGTTGTCCGGGCTCCTCAAGCCGTCGACTTTTGTTGTTGTGGTTGCCTGCTGCGGCGCTGGCGCTGAGGCGCGGGGGCCGAACGCGAACAGGTACCCAGTCCCGACGACGATGGCTGCCAACAACGCCAGTTGTATAAGCTTCCGCACCACTCGCATTTGCGGCGAGAACAGATACTCCCGCGCCCGGTACCACGCGTGCGGACTCTGTTCGCAAAATTCGTTCACGAAAACCGCCCTCGGCACTACTTGTAGTAAAGGCACGATTTTCTCCGTCCAGTCCCGTGTGGCTTTAATGCGCCACGACGCTGCCAAGCCAGACTAGCCGTGGGCTCTGTCTGGCAGTAACGTCTCTCTGGCCTGCCCAGCCACGGCATCCCCCGGTACGGGGCCACTGATTTCATCGGGCCAACAGCGCGCGCGGGGGGGGGGGGGGGGGGTCATCATGAATAGGTAGGGTTTCTTCTGGGCGCGAAAGAACAGCGGCTACAATTCAAGGGTATGAACAGGGTTGGTGGTCCAGTGTGTAACGGAAAATACATGTAGCCGATCGTTTAGTCTTTAGTGTACGAGTACGAAGCAACCACCGCGCATGCTGCGCACAGTGCTAGTTGTGCCGATGTTGTTCGTGCCTACTGTAGCACTTTGTCCCGCGCCATTGTCTACCGTCCTGAAGGGTGGAAGCTGTAGTGGACGCTCTCGAGTCGCGGCGTGCAGGCATGTCTTCGCCAATCTGTGTACACACGAGGTTGCGGTCCCTCAAACGCACCGGCACATGTACTGACAAGTTGGAGCATTGCTCGGAGTAAATATGGAAGTGATACATAGGGCCACCATGGTTTAGAGAAGTCAGATACCACGGCCGCGGTCATGCAGCAGACTCTGCCGTTACTTGGGCCCACCCTCTGTGTTCGTACGGCGTCTCCGAAGATCGGATGCAAAGAGCTCAAGTTGGAAGTACTCGGCCCACCCACGTGAATAGGCCCACCGTGCGTTGCTATTGTGGCCTCCCATTGCCGCTGAAGTATCATGGACAATACTATACTCCGTAAAAGCGATGCAATACTTACCATACGTCGGGGTAGTGTGGGCGTCTTGACACTGGTACAAGTACAACAGCAGCAGATGTGACGTTGGACCTCGCACACCCAATACAATCGACAACCTCACAGAGTACCAACTCCATTCGTGACCGCTACACCCATCCCAGCAGAGCCACCTCGCTAGTACGGACGCGACGCATCCTATGCAGCTACTCAAGCCCCCCGTTGTAAGACGACCTCCAGGATCAGCTGGTGTTTGGGGGGTGGTAAACAGCGTCAGAGCGTTGAGTTGTGTTTGCGTCGTGGTACGCCTACATACGCCGATATGGCACGGAGTCAATCTCACGCTCTCTTTCGCCCTCATGTTGCACGCACTCACGTTGCTATCTGGCGTGTTCCTCGAAAGCGGTGGTAGCCTGCGGTGGTGATGGACCGCGACAGACAGGGGAGAAACGACCATGACCCCGGGTTTAGACTAGACGACATATTTTTTTTGTTTACTTTTGGTTCGATGTGTCGTATCGGGTGGCGGGCGGCGGAACTCGGACGCTGCAACCACTGTTGTGTTCTTGTAGGACGCTCTCGGACATCCTCTCCCCAAGTTGTCTCTCACGGAGTTTCGCATTGCTTCAATCCACATATTTCCGGACGTAGAATATGCTGTGATCCACAAAATTCGGCTGCACTCTTACAGCGCCGCTCAGCGGTGTACCATGGTGCTTGCTGCGGAAATATCATACCGAGAAAATACAGCATGTACCTCGATGCGGTGTCCTGCTGCTCGACAGTCGAGCAATGCCTGAACCTAGAATTTAGATAGATCGAATCTTCAGAGCTGGCCTCAATGGACATCTACTAAACACAGCAGTTCACGCCGCCAAACCTGAAGCACTGCTTTTCCGGATAAAGCAAACATGCAACGCATTAGTCTACAATAATAGAGCACATCCACCACGGACCTGCCTTCTGTTGCGAAAAAGATTCCAACTCCTGGAAAATGAAATAGAGGACGGCTTGATACGTGGAGATACTGAGACGCAGCGTCATATTCTCATTTTGCGTTGTTGCGGGACCTACATGTCCACGCAAGCGCTGTCATGTCACATGTCGATACTGCTGTGCTGCTGCTGTAGGTGGCCTTCACTCTGTGGGCAAACCCGACAGTCCCGAGGCGGCCACCGAGATTGGTTTTGGGATGGATAAGAGGATTCCCTCAGTTCCACAGAGTGCCATAGGCCCTGTGCATGCATGCACGAGTCAGTCCAATATCGCTGACAACAGGCATAAGCGCTAACCGTACAGGCCTACGTCGTCCTGGTGTGGAACCCGTTGTTCCAGCACAGCTCCCGGTCTTGCTGTATGCAGACATGCCCGACATTTTGTGTCTGAAACCAGCAACCTCCATCCGAGGTAGCCAACCCCGGGGATCAGAGGACTCCTTGGATTGCTGGACCGCCAGGAGACCATAACGTGCTGCGCAGTTGGATCGGCTGACCGCCGGTACGTACAACTGAACCCAGGAATGCTTTTGTGTGTCCAGAGGAAATAGGAACACGGCGGGTCTCGAGCCATCCAATCAGCCCCAACATACAGAAATTTTGTTTGATTGAACTGGTGTTGCTGCTCGGATGGAGGCTACTGTACTCGCCACTGGGACAACTCCTACGGTGCCAGACGTAGCACGCGAGAGCGAGAGTGTGCCTTGTCGTTCGGGACCGGGAACTTGGACGGGGACTAAAAGTCCACGTACCACGGTCACGGTTTGTGCGCCCGGGACATCATCTGAGAACATGTATCCTTTGTTTGCAATACTTGCTTGGTCTCAGGTCAGGCGGGGCGTATCTACACGCCACCGGGACTCACTTCGCCACTCCAGGGTTGAAAACCCGCAGTTTCTTTTCAAAATTGCCGCTTATGACGCATGATTTCCGAAGGTATATGGACAAGAACATTGTGAGCGATGTCCTATCGACAACCTGAACCAAAAGTAGCAGCACCGGCTGAGATAGCCTGGGTATCTTCCCTACTGCCAGTTCCACCTGCGCGTCTACGCAACACACCCACCCTTCCAACGTGAACCTACACCCGTGCAGATGAATGGGACCTGCAGAGGCCCAACTCCAATATTGGTACACACTCCCTTGTTACACTCCAGACACGAAAGCGGAGCCGGATACAGCACCAGCTGGGAAGGCCTGGGGATCTTCCCTACTGCCAGTTCCACCTGCGCGTCTACTCAACACTACCACACTTCCAACGTGAACCTACACCCGTACAGATGAATAGGACCTGCAGAGGCCCAACTCCAATATTGGTACACACCTTGTTACACTCCAGACACGAAAGTGGAGCCGGATACAACCAATTTTCGAGATAGCCCGGCGGGCTCTAGTCTAGTTGGCAAACTGACCGGTATTGAATACTGGAGTAGAGAGGGGAAAATGGGAAACAAATCTTAGCCGATCGCGGCCGTACCTCCGGCATTTCTACACCAGCTTGCCCCCCTACTCTACGATGCACACCTCCACCCAAATGTCTTTCATGTTGTGACCATCTTGAGTTGGCTATACTCACGCTGCTTCCTTGGTACTTCTTGTCTACTACCATTGACACCTCTGTCTTTCCTTCTCATCCCGAGCCCGCGAAACTATACAGAAACCTCCAAACACAGAACCTCAAACCTTGAAGCACAAACACGCCGATCATCCCCGCCTCCACGCCTGCTTTCGATTTTCTTCCGAGCCGAAAGCCTGACGTCCTTCGACTTCCATTGGCGCCGGGCACTCATAGCCCTTGTTAATGTAGGAGAAGGTAGCCTTACATCGGAGAAGGTAGCGCTACATCGACCCAGATTTGTCACTTCCGTCGAGGAAGAGGACTGACTAACGCTTTGCTCGGCTGGATGCCACGTTTAGTGGCATGCCCGAAGCTCGGCAACGTTTCTGCGAACAAGAGATGGTCCAAGGCAGCATGGAGGAACAGTGAAGACGATAAGCAGGTCACATGCGATATAGGAGTAATGCAGAAGCAATCACAACGCCATGGTCATGAAGCCCATCGAAGTTGTATTGCCATACCCACCGCTCGAGGGCCTAACACGCGAGTTTCGTGCCGGACGTTCACCGACTCATCACGACCGGTTTGTTCGGGATGGTTACTAGATGGCCAGACACATTCACGTTACAGTCCTTACCCGTAGCTTGACCCTGTAGTTCAATGTCGACTGACTGTCGCCGGGGGAAGAACTTGACACATATCACCATGTGAGGTCAACCAAGTTATCGCACGCAGACAAACTTGCCCTGCTAGATGTTTGTGGAGATGTCGATTCCTCAACCATTCCTTGCTGCTACCCTAGTGTCTCTCATCAACCAGCCATTGTACATTCTACCCAAATGAGCATCCGTACATGATCGCGGGCGGCGTGAGTACTCATGCATTCCTTTCGTGAGTCTCGTGGACCACTGACCACGTATTCGGCTTGAGATAGAACCTTCTACGTACGGCTCTGGGCGTTCGATAGTTCTCTGCCATTTTCACACAAGATATATATCCTTGCCAGTTTGGTGCATTTCCGAGTGAAACGTGGTGGCGGCGGCTTACCTTGATCGAGCAACCAGGTGGACGACCAGTTTAGATGGCTTGGTACACCGACATGGTGTAGGGGCCACCGCACATTTCGTCCGAGTTGCCCGTACAGGGCATGTCGCAGACGCCGAAACCGTTGGCAGCGTAGTCGGCGTTGTCGCCGCACCAGCACTGTTGCATGCGGCAGCATCCACATCCAAGGGGGGGCGTGAACTTGCGGAGGAAACGGGTCTCAAGATGGCATGCTTGAGATTCGATGTTTCATCAGACCAGGTGAATTTGGTGAGCTAGGCAGAGGTGCCAGTGTCAGGGCAAGATCTAGGGCAAAGGATGGGGGCATGAACACCGCAGGTCGCGGCTACATTTTGCAGATCGATGCACGAACGTGACTCGTTCTCCTGACCGATTCCGGAGACCGCAATGACCAAGTCAAGGCTCTCTTCGTAGTCGTGCTTCGTTGGTGCGATCACTCATCCTTCTTAAAGCAGACACGTAAACCATAAATGCCGATTCCAAGTCTGTTGCACACATATCGCAGGTGTCATGAGGAACAAGCAACGGCAGAAAACAAAGACAGCGGCGCTCCCAGAGAGCTAGGTACTTCTCGTTGGCCCAGAGAAGCCAAGGTACGATAGGGGAAACCACTTCAAGTATCCCCTTGGTATGACTCGGCACGCGTATGATGCATTTGGGATTCATCGAGGATGGACAATTAACAATGGCATCTGGAATCATTGTGAAACACGTGGAACCGATTCACGCTGGCGGCCATGGTCATCCCAAAGCCCCCGCAACGGTTTCCGATGGTCGCTCTTCTCGTACAACACTGGCCCACAGGGCACATGACACCCTTTCGACACGAACACAAGACGCCATACCTCTTGAGAATACTGGGTTCCGTAGTAGGCCGAGCCGCTGCAGCGCGAGGCGCAGGCCTGATCGTTGGGTGATGTACGTGTGCGCACGAGCAACGGTCGATGGTCAAGGGGGCGGGGGGAGAAGTGCTATAGTGAGGACCCAATCGAAAGGGAGATGCATGGGTGGGTGAGGTGCGTTCGTAACGAGTTGGGTTACGAAATGGCGAAAATGGTTGATGCTTCCTGTGCAAGAACCATAACCAACGACAACAACAACACCGCAAGACACATGTTGCGAAAGCGCGATGCTCGTGTTGAAAGGAATGATTTTAGATTCAGGCAACCCAACGCCTTTGATCGGTTAACTGTTCACCTCTGCGGTCATAGCGGTGTTGGAACTCTCCCACACGAACATGCGGTCGTCGGCGGGGTCCGAGAAGCACCCGAGGTACGCCGGGTCCTGGGCGTACACATCCATGCTGTAGGACCCCCCACAGGCTTCGTCGGAGTTGCCCGCGCAGGTCATGTCGCACTCGCCGACGCCATTGACGGAGTATTGGGCGTTGATGTCACCGCACCAGCACTGTTGTCGGAGGGATGGACCAGTGGGGGGTGAACGGTTGTGTACACATAGAAATCGACCAAACTGAGGGGGGTACACAGTATATAGATGGGTGCAAAGCTGACGGTGGTGTCAGGACATATCATGCCACACGAGAACTGGAGGCAGAAGAAACGAACAGCAAAGAACCACCATCGGCTCGAGGAGAACCTTTCTCCAATCCAAGTACCGCGATCTCCCCTTTCAGAGAACGGTCATGGGCACACGTACAACCGTTGTGCGGATAAACGTCCAGGCGAACCTCAGAGGCACGTAAGGAGGCCATGCCTGTACAAAAACAACATACCCTGACGGCGGCAAGTGTTGTTTCTACTAATCGTCTGGCTTAGGGCACCACCCTGACACGTAGCCACTTTGTAGCGAACCCCTCGCGTTGGAACTCACGACGCTGGGCAAATCTTATCAACTAAGACACAGCAAGCAAGAAGGGCGACTGGGGAAGGGTCGCCCTATCTCTGCGTTGTACTGGTACGATCGGCGCTGGCTTTGATGGTGCCGTCTCTCGATGGCTTGTCACGTGTTCTCAAGACGACTGCGCAGCCTTTCCTGCTAGCAGGCAAGCTTCGAAAACGGCATTATTTGCGATCCGTTGGAATATACAGAGAGTCTAGTGGTGCCGTGCGGCGTGTTGGCGGTTTTGCGGCAGCGCAACTCGCATCTTTGTCGGCGGGAACGCCGAGGTGGTGCCCGCGACCAACCTTTGGTTTGGAGAAAGAGTAGCAAACAAGGTCCTCACCTCCCTCGAGTACTGCGTTCCGTAGAAGGCCGAGTCGGCGCATTGCGTCGCACAGAGCTGTGGTCGTTTGGGTAACGGTGAGTGTCCAAAGATGGATAATCAGGACGAGGGGAAAGAAGCGGTGAGTAGGGGCGAATGAGCTGAGAGCGACAACGTAGATGTGCCGGGTGCAGTGATGGTGAGTTGGCTCCCGGGAAGCTTACCAGACCCTCAGGCGTTTTCACGCTTAATGACAATGCGACATCGGCATCGGAGAGCATGGTCGTTCAGCGCGCCGACCATGCGGAGGCTCCAACCCAACTTCTCAAAACTCTCTTCTCAGGTAGCTAACAAGGTCCGGAATTGGCTCAGGAGGGCACCGTGCCATCAAGGAAGGGATGATGAAACATGAAAGGCAGCAGGACCAGCCCACAGCTGGCTGCCGGCTGCCAGTGTGACGTTTCCCAAGCTCACACGGTTCAAGCAGCTGACGTCGTTTGGCTCCACGCGCCCAGGAAACCTCATCCGACGAAAACGAAAATCATACAAACCTTTAGTCAATACAGTCTACATAGACACGCCTCTGTTGCCCTCTCACTCACCTCTGCGGTCATCTCGTCAGAGGAAGTGTCCTGCACGAAAACACGGTTGGTGCCTGGGTCGGAGTAGCAGCCACGGTACGCGGGGTCCACCACTTCGTTCTTGTAGACACTCATACTGTAGGAGCCTCCACACATCGCACTGGCGTCGCCCGCGCAGGGCATCACGCACCCGTTGCTGGCACCGTTCGCATCATAGTCGGCGTTCTCGTCACCGCACCAGCACTGCATTCGAGAGTATCCAGAAAGGGGGGGTAGGGGAGCGCAGTGAACGAGAGGGCCAGGGTTTCATCGCGACGTCGTGACGTACACGACGCGCAGTTGGCAACGCTATAGCTTGGACTACGTGCGTCGGTGGGCGTGACGTGAGGCCGAGGCTGTCAACGTGTATTAACAAAGCCTGATGCAGGAAGATCTCGCCTGCAAACTACAGCAGGCCTCAATGAGTTCAGGCGAGATCACCTGAAGCATCAGCGAACGTCCAGTAACGACCTACACTATTGACCGAACAAGCAGCAGTGTTCGTTTCTCCGGGAACCGCCGATCCAGCACGTTCCCCGATGGTGTATGGAACCATGGTACATCACAAGAAGGCAGCGGCCGAGAATGAATGTGGAACGTCCACCCAACGCGCACGATGTTTCTCCAACACCTGTTGGAGTTTCGACGCACGATCCACACCACTTCTTTGCGCGTGTATGCTAGGAGTCTCACCTCTGTCGAATACTGAGTTCCGTAGTACGGGTAGGCGCTGCAGTGCTCCAAGCAGACCTGTGGTCGTTCGGGCACAAGTAGGGGGGAGTCATTGGTCAGTCGAAGGAAGCGAGACGAGCGAACAAAGGGCGACGTGGATTTGTGCGGGAGGTGGCGGTGGTGTGTTGGTCCAATGATGATGTTAATAGCTGGTTTCAACGGCTGTGCAAGGGCAAACCACAAATCAGCAACAATACCACGAAGAGTACAAGTCTTCAGTCACCGACAAAAACACATTAAAAGCGCAACCCAAGCAAGCAGACGTAGCCAATCGGGCTTCGGTTTCATACTCACCGCCTTGGTCATGTCATCAGAGGAAGTCGCCAGCTCGAAAATGCGGTTGTCGACCGGGTCGGAGAAACATCCAAGTAAGTCGGTGTCATTGTGTACTTCATGTTGGCGGATGGACATGGCGTCAAACCCGCCGCAGAACTCGCCGTCGGTGGATCCGGCACACTCATAGTCGCAGACGGCAAGACCATTCTGCGCATAGTCGGCCGTGCCCTCATCACACCAGCACTGTTTCGAGGATACAAACAGGAGCACAGCCAAGGGCGAGAGCATTCATTTTTCACGAAGAGATAAATCGTTTTTAGAGCGTGATAAATGGGGGGAGAAGTTTGATAGACTGCACGGGTGGCCAAAGGGAGGTTGTCACTGGTACCCAACCTCCCTGGGGTCAGGTTGGGACGTTGGGGATCGACCTTGGACAATACATTGTTTACGCTGCCAGACCGCCCTATTGATTGGACCAACGCCGCAACCCGTGATGCGGGGCTAGCATATGTATGTTGGCGTACAACCTGACCCTAGGGAGGTTGTGGGGAGGTTGTGCACCAGATACAACCTGCCTTGGCCACTCGTGTGAGACAACGTCCGGAACCGCGGCAGGGTAAGAGGAAAGCTTCGTGACGCCACGCGCACCAGGATCGTATCCCTGTCTGTACTATCGTACTGTGTATGCACGTAGTCTGCTACAGTGAAAGCAATCCCGCCATGTGTCTGTTTCGGTTTGGCACGCGCTTCCTTCTCTCACTGAAGCCAGTGCAAACTTGGAACCCGATCATGAAGCAATGACTTGTCAGTCGGCAAGCATGTCAATCTCCTCGCGGTGTAGGGACTAGAGAGGAGGTTGCCTTCTAAACAAGCGTAGTGAACGAGACAGAGTCTCATTCTGTACTCGGAACGGGCAGGTTCAATGAAGCCTCCGAGGGCTCCTGACTTGAATGACGAAGTCGCAGCCTATGACGATTCTCGCCAGAGGAAGCGATAGGCTCATCTCACCTCGGTTCCGTACTGCGTCCCGTAGTACGCGTAATTGGCGCAGAGACCTTCGCAGACCTGCAGCGTGGAATACACCCGGACGTCGAATGACGCATCGTTTCGGAACTGGTGAGTATTTGTCCATCAGCTGTGGCGCATAGGTCAATTCGAAAATGTAGGTTGTCGACTCATGCAATTCGTGTTGTGCTGGGATGCTGACATGATAGAACACCCCGTACGAAGCTGTTCGCGTTGAAGAGCGACGGGTTGATAAACCTCGTTTGTTGGATAACAACCTACAGCTTTACACAGTAATAGCGGTTCGAAAAAGAGCTACTCGATTCGGCTGCCCGTAAAGAAGGAACTCGTCGCTCATTCTTCCATCCCCGTCCGCGACCGTAGCACGCGACGCCAACGGGGTTTCCTGGCCTCATTATTGGTCATTCTGTCGGATGGGTTGACGAGGTCGATAATCACTTACCCTCTTGAAGTCCCTGATGTAGTCTATGGCTCTTCACGTGGATTGACACCAATATGCGGCACATCACGGTAGCCTCGGAGAGTGAGGAAAATGCACACCATTCACAATCACGAACCCCGAATCCAGCTACTGGGCGTGTTGTACGACGAGCAGTCTCTATTCTACTGCATTCATAAGGTGGTTGCTCACCGCAGTAGTCATGTCGTCCGATGTGTCGATCAGGATGGGAAACAGCCGCGTTTCCGCCGAGTAGGGATCGCTCCAGCACCCAAGGTAGTCGGGGTCGTTGGAGTAGACGGAGAGAGCGTACGCCCCGCCACAGATCTCGTCAGAGTTGCCGGAGCAGGGCATGTCGCAGTCGCCAGGGCCGTTGATGGCGTATCCAACGTTGTCACCGCACCAGCACTGTTGTTTTGAAACGAACGACGTACGTTCGGAATGAAAAACGCGGTGGCGTCAAAGAAATGCAGGGGCGTCGTGGTTGCGAGAGCGGCGTGCGATGGTGTTCCCTGCGGAGAGTGGGGTGAGGAAAGCAATCGTGGTGGTGGTAGTGGTGTCGAACCACGGTCGTCCGAGGAGAAATCAAAATCAAATACGGAGAATCACACAGCATCTCGATTCGCGAAGGATGTTGTCATCATGTCCGTTGCCCCCGATCGCGAGTCGACCGTTCCGAATAGATCACGAGGTGATTCTGAGCGATCACTGAGTCCGGTAGAAGCTGAAACCAGAATCACTATCCTCGCTTGTGTAGCCTAGAACTACAGGGGGTCAAGGAACGAACAGTCAGTTCAAATATTGTACACCGGGGACCTGCGAAACCTTTTGGCTTCGAGGTTGTCCTTGTTCACTGGCACAAAGAAGGCATGATGCCCCAAGGTTCGACTATGCATTTGGTCCCGCGACCTCCATTCCCGAATCACTGAACCGTATTCCAGTCTTTTCTGCGATCATGATGCCGTTCGTCACCTTCTCTGTTGATCGGCATAAGGGTATGATCCCATTGTTTTCAATTGAAGATTCTTACCTCTGTCGAATACTGGGTCCCATAGAAGTCAGACCCAGAGCAGAGCTCCGAACACTCCTGTGGTCGAACGGTTGCATGAAAGCCGTAGATGGTCAGTATTAGGAGGCGCGTGGAGCAATGCTTGGCACGTCCGCATAAAACGCCATGGCCGCACTGGGTGTGTCGTTTGGCTTCAGGGATCACGAAGCGGCTTTGAAAGCGTGGATGACTCCTGTGCGATTTCCTGACCACATGAGCAACACCAATTGCCGTGAGCAGGTCGAAAAGAGTGCACTGCAACCCGCACGCAGACCCCATCGTGTCGATAACGCAATGAAACTCGCACGCAGACCCCTTCGTGCTGACAACGCAACGTAACCAACTAACACAGATATCTTAGCGTGCGTCCGCCCATCATCGATCGATCGCTCACATCTGCGGTCATAGCGGAGGTAGAAGACTGCCATTCGAAGACGCGGTTCTCAGCAGGGTCGGAGAAGCACCCGAGGTAAGATGGATCATCGGACTGACCTGCTCCGGCAACAGTCAGGCGACACGATAATCTCACGAGCCGATAAGCTTGCTCCAAATGTGCAAAGACACAGGAGGCACGCACGTTTGTACACTCACGCCTGGGAGCTGCACGGTTTTGCCTACAGTACGCACTTCACTTCGTTTCTGTATGGAAGGTGATTCCCCCTTGATACTCCAGACTATGCCTTGGTCGCTAGCTAATAGTATTCGGAGAATACGCTCCGGTCCTCGGGGAATATATTCGTTCCTTGACTTGTTTAGGTGTAAGGGGGCTTGAGGGACCACAAGCGGTCAAATCATGTTGCTGTGACATTTGACCCATCTGAGGTAGGACTCATCCAAAACTCATTATCTGCATGCGCGTAGAACACGATGCCTCAGCAGCTCGGGAGCATTGAAGCCGCTCGTGGGAGCGCCGAGATACTGTTTCTGCTTCGGCTGCTGTGGTACAATGACCGAAACATCCCTGATTCATTCACCGAGTGATCGTAATTGTCGGCAGACTTTCAGAGGACGATCCACTTCCCGACCAATATGAGTCATACTTCGTACATCATTGCCTCTTACCAATGGCGACCCCGAGGAGGAGCGTCGGTAGTGCCAGCGAAAGGAGATGCATCTTGACCTCGAAATTGCTGGGAAGCTGACACCTGAAAGCAAAAGACCATTGTTCGTCAGGCGTACGTGCGAGGTGGTTTTTTCGCGGCTCTTCGCCCTTTCACTCTTTTTCCACCTGCGTCCTCTGTACAAAGGCTTGTGGAGTCTGGGAGGAGAATCGATTGTCGAAAAACGTGATCAAGGGTTCGCGATACTGCAAGCATGACTGGTGTGTGGGGCATTCTATACTTGCACCACGTACAACGTCCCCGCTAGGTAGGCTCCTAGGCAGGGAAAACGGCAGGCAGGGGGCTGCAAGTATTAGGTTCACGGTAGATCGGACCCAGAAAAGGTGCGTTGCATCCTATTTCTCCGACGGCCTTGGAGAGTTTGGGCACTATCTCACTTCGGGATTGAGAGAAACTGGGAGATATGTGGGTTGTGTTCTTTCCTCTACGGGTTAGCAGATCATGGCTGCCACTGCCTGCAGTTCCAAGAGCGCACGGCTACGTCTGGATTGAGGAGAAAACCCACCACCCAAAAATCACAAACATCCCGGTGTAAACAACTTTGAAAAAAATTCTTTGTGCAACGCAAGCAGTAGGTCGGGTTGACCTACAGCGAGCGGCAGGATACCTGAGGAAATCATCTACACAATGGACTGCCACGAAATACATCGTACAGTAAACACAACACCGACACTCACAGTGCGTTCTTGGAGGCCTCAGTAGTTCTTGAGCTGATCGGGAGTGCAGACAAGGCGAGAAGAAGCAGGGTGTGAGCTGATGGGCGAGAGGGCAGATGACGTTCTCTCGGATATTCCACATGTGATGTCACACATGATATTTTGCTCGAAATTGTATTGTGGGCGTCAATGGAGCCTGAAAGTGTGGGGGTGTGTTCGAAAGAGCCGGCGGATTGTGTAATTGCTCACACGAACATGTCGTACATTCTTATGTCACTTGCATTCACGTTCGGTTCATTTTCTTGTGGAAAACAGGGATCTACACGTCCACGCAAGGGCTTCGTGTCACATGTCTGTAGGCGGCGGGTTGCAGGTCAATGAGTGGGCGAACCCGACAGACCCGAGAAGGTCACACCGAGACCGGTTTGTGGATTTAAAAGTGCTGTACAAGTAGTACAGCAGCAGGCCCCATGCGTGCACGAATGGGTCCGACATAGCTGGCCATTGGGACGAATGAGGACAGTTCGGGTCTGCTGTAGGTCCCGTTCTGGTGTGGTATGCAGAGATGTGACCTTGGTTGGTATCAGCAGGCATCTCGACATGTTGTAAGGGCTCTCTGTCACACCATCAGAATTCCGGGCTGAGAATTTCGGGGAAATTGCTGGCTCCTCTCGGGAATCCCGTACAATCCATCCAGCATTCGACGGTCGTGCTTGCCGGCGGGCTGCGCAATTGTTCACACGAAACGTCTTACATTCTTATGTCACTTGCATTTATATTCGATTCATTTTCTCGCGGACAACGGGGACCTACACGTCGACGCAAGGGCTTGCCGTGTCACTGCTGTCTGCTGTGGGCTGGGCGGCGGGTGGCAGGTCGATGAAGGGGCGAACCTGACAGTCCCGAGACCGTCACCGAGATCACGATGGGTTTGTGGATTTCCACGGAGTGCTTTAGTACAGCAGTAGGCACTATGCGTGCACTAGTGGGTCCGACATAGCTGGACATTGGCACGAATGGGGTACGTCTGGGTCTGTAGGTCCCGTCCTGGTGTGGTATGCAGAGATACGAACGACCTTGGTTGGTACCAGGCATCGGTATTAGGGCTCTGTGTACATATGGATGCCACTGCAGGAATTTTGGCCATGAGACTGGATCTTCCCGATTCGTCAGTTTTAGGCAGAGCAGAGAGCGCACGCATGCGTAAAGTTTGCTGCCTGCACCAGCCGGCGCGCTGAGAGTGCGCTTCATGGTCTGCCTGGCCCTACTACTTCTAGCCTTCGTCACACAAAGCTCCAAGCCAAACGGTACACAAATCATGAAGGAGTATCGAGTGACGAGCGTAGAGAGTGTAGATGGGAAGCATATCGCGGGTGAATATAACGGAAAACCAAGCACCAATGGACCGATCTTCCATGTAGTATACGTACGTCAGAGCCGAAAAAGGCAACGCAGCACGCTAGCTGCTACAGCGCTCAGAATCACGCTTTCTCCCGTGTGCAGTACGCGTGCATGATGAGCAACCGCGAATTCAAACAAAATACTTTTCATCTTTGTTTTTCGATGTGGAGCATCAAAAAGTACATCTCCGACAAACTTCGAGTGGGAGCAAACGGCAGTGTGCTTTGGCCTCTATGTTGCACAGGATGGCAAAACCTTGAAGGCCGCCACCCTTCCTTACTGAAAGTCGCCTGGGTGAACTTGCTCTCACGTGAAGACATATCGCGAGACATCATCGCGACGACATCATGAATCAAAGCGGCGAGGGCTTCAAGGACCAAAACGAGCGCGCGATAACGGAAAAGCTTATTCGAGACATCACTCTTGCGGAAAGACGGATGTATAGCGAACGTTCGTCGTGCTGATTCTCGAACTCTTCGAGATGGTGGTTGCCCACTTCTATACACCTGGCATAGCACCTCGATAGTCGACCCTCCTCCGCTGTAAATGCCTCAAAGTCTCACGTTAAGCCAAACGCATGGCTGCTTCAGCTCGTTGCATGTCACCTACGATACTCAGGAAAGCACAAAAAAAAAGAAGAAATCTGCATCCTACAATAGAAAAGTGAAAGTCATAACAGATTACCCGCCCTCCTAAACGGCAGTATTTCTCCACTTCATACCACTCCCTCAAGGTCATCATTAACAACGCAAGGTCGGAAGGCACGCCCTTTCGTGTGAAAGAAACGCGGTGAACAGACCCACAGGAGGGATGGCCGCCAAAGGAAGCGAATGAGACACCAACGCCGCGAAGAAATGAGAAAAAAAGAAAAAAATTGCACACGCTTATATCTGAATTGCGAAGACATACACGAGAGAATAACAACGGTAAAATTCACGCATGAACTAGCATCCACTCGCATTCACTAGCACATATCAACGTTCTTGAATGTGAGCGAATGCGCGCGGCTACGCGAAGCGCATTACATTATTTGGAGGAAACACAGCGACACGCCGTCGTGTTCAACATCAAAGGACATGCGTGGAAACCCTGTGTAGACGATACTCACAGCAAGCAGTCTTGAACAAAAAAATCATCAAAAACTACAGCAGCAACAACACCAACCGCACTTCGAGACAATGGAATTCGCCAAAGATATCTCCGAGAAGTGGGTGCGTGTGGGCGCAAGGTACCACTTTTCACCGCAATACGGAAACAACCTTCGCAGCAATGAACGCTGTCCGACTGGGCGGCCCGTTCTCAATGCAGTAGACGAAACACCTCAACACCACTACAACCCTTGAGATGTTGCGGCAACACCATCATTGACTAACACCGGTGGCTGCACGTTTACTTAGCTGGGGGGGTGGGAGGCATTCGTTCGTGATCTGCCCGTCGGCGTTTCGATTCCAACGTCGACGCACACGCCCTCCCCCTCTGCTGCAAGAAACATCTAATAGCGGTAATAGCCCGCCCGTTCGCTGCGCTATCTTGCCGTACAACACCAGCATCTACCCTGCGATTCACGAAGGTGTTGCAGCCGCCCCACACTCCCTTAACAGCATCGCTAGACACCATAACGTACCAAAGACAAAAAAAACGGCAAAATTGTTTCGGCAGATGAACTTAACACCGAACCAACTGCTGAAGACACGTCGGAAGAGGAACGACCCCCCCCCCCCCCCCCCCACCCCCCCCTCTCTTCTCCCCTCCTTTTTTTTTCCGG